GCCCATGCTCCTGTGCGGGGTACAAAGAGGCAGCCATTTTTGCCCAACACTGGACCTAGGACTGAGTGGAGGGCTGGAGCGATCAGAATTTGGGGGCTCTGCCAAATGACAGTGGAGCTGAAGACTTTGAGCCAGGCTGACCCCCTTATTGCCTGCTTTGAGGAACAGTTCACCAGCAGGGATCACACTCCCGCCCTCTGGTGGTTTAGGCTCAGTGCGGTCAGGATTCAGCACTGGGGACGCACTGCCCTGCACAGCCCCTCCACCCAACTCCTGGACCACCCGCCTTCCCCTGGTAGCCCTAGGTCTTTCCCTCCCAACCCCCCAGATAGCCTGCTTTGCCCTGCCCTTTGTCTCTGCCAGCTATATATACCCCGTGTAGTTGGGCAGGTCCTGGAGATGCCTTACCTGCCCCAGTCACCCACTCCAGTCAGCTCAGCTGGTCACCAATTCACACTCGGGCTGAGGGCAGGGACAGACTAGCCCTCAACACACTGGTGGCCATGCCCACACTTCCAGGCTCTGATGACAGGCATGCATCAGCCTTAACTTTCTGCTTGTTCCACAGTTGGCCCTTGGCAGCCTGGGCTCCATGCCTTGGGAACACTGGCCTGCCTGGTTGGCAGTACGTTTGATTCTAGGGGGTATGAGGTGCTGTGCAAGCATTTGCCTGCTGCGGAGCTGGCAGCACCAGCCAACTGGGATGAATGGGTGAGCAAGGAATGATCACAAGGTGAGGAACGAGGGGCTGGAGGTGACAGGAGAGAGGCAGGGGAAGAAAGAGAAGTATAGGGAAGTTGCAAGGCAAAAGGGGTAGGTGGAAAAGCTGGAAGGGGAGCTGGCGGGTTCCTAGCTGGCGGGCTCTGTCTCATGCAGCATTCAGTGCTCAGCCATAGTCACCAGGAATTAAAATATTTATTTTTAAATAAAATATTCATTGGTGGGGCCCTGGCAGTATGGAGTCAGCAAGAGTCCCAAGTCCACATGGGGGACAGTTCCCCACCTCCCCTGGCCACCTGCCCAGGGCATTTGCCTTTGGATGGATTTGGTGCTACCATTTCAATTTACTTTTACACACACACACACACACACACACGTGCCTGAACACAAACAAACTTGCACACACATTCATCTTCATTTTCAGACACACATCCCACTACCCTCCAGGCAATGAATCACTCCTGAGTAACAGGTGTCACCACCTCAGGGTTTAGTCTTTTGCATCTGCGGCCATTGGTGGGAACCCTGCTCCCTGTTACTCCCCTCCACTGGGACCCGCTGTCCCTCCCAGCCAGTGGTATGAGGAGCTTGGTGCTTACAAACAGGTAGCAAACTGTGGAGCTTAAACTGAGCTCAGGGGTTTCAGAGTAGCAGCCGTGTTAGTCTGTATCCGCAAAAAGAAAAGGAGGACTTGTGGCACCTTAGAGACTAACCAATTTATTTGAGCATAAGCTTTCGTGAGCTACAGCTCACTTCATCGAAAGCTTACAAGTACTCCTTTTCTTTTTGAGCTAAGGGGGTTAGTCAGCAGCTCTCTCCTCTCCTGCCAATAGGAGCAAGATTGGGTCTCCTATGATATCCCAGAGTCAGACTGCTGCAGGACTCCCCTTTTCCTCTCTGCTCCAGGTCACCCCAGCTCCGGGGGGGCATGTTTTGTCATTTTAGCCTATCATTTAAAGGCCTGGTCCCAGGCTCCCCCGTTTGACTCGAGCACATCAGAACCTCCCTTTCTTCCCATCCCCAGATGGATGGTAATTTACAGCTCCAGACAGCTGCCTGCTTTTTTCAACATTTGAGTACAGAACAGTACTCAGATTTGTGTCCAGAAGCAAAAAGGGGAAAGGGGAGATGATAGGATCAGGGAGAGGTGAGAGACACAGTGCCACACTGGCCGCTTTGTGCTACAGTTCTCCAGCCCCTGTACTTCTCACCCAGAGGCCCCTCTTGCTATAGGCAAACTAAGTAGCTATTTCCTAAGGAGGCAACTGCCTAGAGGCAGGGTCTGTGGGGGTGTGAATTGCAAAGCACTCTAATGTGTAGTGCTCTAACTGGCCTATGTGTACCCTGCTGCAGTGAACTAAAAGGTATCTAGTACACATTGATATAGTCCTGTGGACTATATGAGCAGGCAGTAGGTACCTTTTAGTTAGTGCCAGCCAGGTCCACACAGACCAGTTAGATCGTTCTGCAATTCACTCCACCCTAATCTATCTCCTCCAATAAACCAGTCTGCTGTGCTGCTTCTACCAGAAATCTGCTGCCCCTGGACAGCTGCAAAGTTTGCCTGTTACTAGAAAGGCCTCTGCCTGCACTGCTAATACTATTAATGACAGGAGGCTCTGCCTAATAGCCGCCATCAGTAGAAGGTTCAAAATGCCTATGGTCACAACTCAGTACAGATTAAGTATGCTCAGTGTATTTGTATACTTCCCAATTTCTCTTTTTTGTTGTGGCTGTGTTTAATTGAATAAGTAAACAGAGTCATTTTTAAAAAGTTTTACTTAGTCATTACCAATTTAGTAAACCATTTCTTATCTGTAGCCTACATATTTATGCTTAGTCAGACACCTAAAATTTACTATTTATCCATACGCTAATTTACTATGGTAGATATGTGACTATTTCTGTCATGATAAGAATGACAAGATATCACAAATAGAAAATCCAATGAGACTTTCTATGAGTAACAAGTTGTGGCAGATGAGTTATGGGAACAAAAGCTCCTCTTTAGACACATTTATCTTTAATAACTAACCAATAAGAGATGGAAACAGCCATTTACTTGAGCCATTAATGAATGTTTTTCAATATTCCGTTTTTCTCATTGAACAAGCATATAAATTAATATTTAATAATCATTCAAGGAGAAAGAGGTTAAATTTTTCATTTTTATTTCAGAAAATCTTTGTATAGTTGGACTTGGGGACCTTTAACATGACCTAAAAAAAGGAAAACATTGAGTTGTGTCTTTTTTTTTTTTTTGCTTATTCTCCAAGATGTATGACAAAAACCTGATATCCCACATCCTATGTTCCCCTCCAATACCATCCAAATACTGCCTCCCCAAACAAATACAACCAACCAAACAAAAACCCATACAGCCACAACCATGTAATTGATTCTTGTTTTTTACATTACAAATCCAGGTCTTGCCTTCCTGCCTTCCTTGGACTGGGAAACCAGTAGGTTTATGGCATAACAATCTCCAAGGGTGAATTTCTGGGAGTTTTGCCATTGACTTCAATGGGGTCAGGATTTTGCAACAAGTAAATACATGAACCTGATTAATTGGATCGGGGAATTAATTTTATTCACCTTTTTAAAGTATTCTTTGGCTTTTGTTTTTACATCTATTGAACTGTGAAGCAATAATCTATATACCAGTTTTACAGCCAAGGTAGAATGGACTGTATTATACTATACATTAAATAGCACCAGGAATTAGGATTCCCCAAAGCAATGATCCAAAATGCATTAGCACTAACAATGTCACTTGGGGTTGAGGATAGAATAGCTGTAACCTTGAAAACTATAGACACCCTAAATTTTGTTTTAAAGCTTTATTGTTGTGCATTTAAGGCATCAGGAGTCTGAGAACAGGTTCAATACTCCAACTACCAAGAGACGGCGGGAGAAGAGGAGAAAAAGCTGAGCCATGGAAATCTACTAATTTCTACTTGGCCTGCAAAGTGAAAACTTTAGTGGCAGCTGTGTTCAGATGAAAGTCAACTCCCCCTAAGGCTTCTGCCAATCTGGGACTGAACGAGTGAGCACCTTGCAACTATCTTTCTGGGAATTTCATCTCGCCACTACTCCATCAAAACTTGAATTAAACCTCCTGCTAATTCTCAGTGCAGGATTTTGCCTCTTTTTGGAGAACCAGAACTTGCCATCTCTTCCAAGGCCTCTCATTCATAAGCAATTGGGAGGAAACATCTAATTTCCTCCCTGTCACACCATTTGAGTATCAAGCATGTCATTCCTGGAATGAGTTTGGTATTCAGTAGCTGGGGAGCAGAGGACTGGAGGTTACATACCTGAGCCTCTGCTGGCCCAGCGCAGAGCACTGCTGCCAACATACTGGTCCAACTATAACTTTAAAAGAAAACAGAGTCCCTTTCAAAACAGTGGCATGAACACTACAGTAAGAGATCATTCAAGCATGTGGTCTACTAGCTAATTTAGCATGTAAGAAAAACAACTGCATTTTTGCTTTTTAATGCTTTGTCAGCAGAATAGCTGAGGACAAGCTTCTTATGGTGTACTTGTTTAATGAGGCCTTCCATTGTTTTGGTTTTTTGGTACAAACCTGTGGTTTCAGAAGCCTGCAGATTTAACTGAACTTAAAAATATAAAGAGGAATGCTATCCATGTAAATAAATCTGAAATTTAAGCACACACTTTTCTTTTGTGAATGGTATTAATAAAGAAAAACATGGATGATGAAGCTAAGAAAGTCCAAAAGTAAAAGTTTTACGTAATGTGGTTTGGTGTCATTTATCTGGACACCTCTGTGATCTGAGCAATGAGGTCTATCAGGCGTACAGCTACTGCACACACCAAAACAATTCAGTATGTTACTCACTAGGGCTAAGAACCTCTCCACTTCTCTTGCATATCCAGGTTTATTCTTAGGAAAGTGGCCAGTTTTAAGGTGTATTGATCCACCAGTCTGTCTCCCATGTGCTCATCTCTGTAGCATCTGAGTAGCACCATGGTATAACCTCATAACTGGTTAATTTCCAAGGTTTTGATAAGGCCACGGGTGATTTCAATGGGAGTCAGGTGCCTAAATAATCTGTGTAACTGTCCCTAAAACTGTTCTCTCTCTCCCTCTGCATCCTAGCACAGCTTCTGATTAGAACATTAGAATAGAGGTTGGCGTGTTGACAGTTGTGTCTGATTCTCACCAAAGTAAATGTAGAAATACTGCATTCATGCTGAGATTTCAAATCCAGTTACAAACCTGATGTTGATGCAACAATCACAATTCATCTTACCACTGAGAGGGTGAGGAACGGTATATTGCTTCTTTTTGTTAGAAATGGATGCTGAGGAAAGTTTGCGAGGAAGAAGAGCTCCTTCTTGCTTTTCTGGAGTGTCACTCTGCTGGGTTTTCCTCAGTTGTGCCATGTGTTCAAGTTTTTTCAACCGTTCTTGTGAACGAGAAATAAACTGAGGTTTATGGACTTCCAGAGCCTCCTAAATAAAACAGTCAAAACATTTCATTTTAGAATATGGAATACAAAACATTGAGATGCTCATCAAATATGATTTAGTAAAGGATTATCATGGAGAAGTCAATGCATCTCAACAGTTAAGGTAACAACATTGTATTTGCTCCCCTCTAACTTTAGTTTGGAAAACTGATTTGGCTTGAATATTGCCAGATTTATTCTAAAGGCAAAGGGGAATATTGCTGCCAAATTTGAAGTAAGTGTATTAAACTGTTTTTGAGTTTCAGATTTTTATGAAATTATCCTGATTTAAGATTCTGACTTTTTGTTCAATGTTTCTCAAAAAAAACAACAGCTCAGAAACAGCTTGTCACTAGCAGCTCACAAACTTTCCTTATATTTAAATCTTCTTGAAAACTCATTCACAGATGGAAAAGGAGTACTTCCTTTTCTTTTTGCGAATACAGACTAACACGGCTGTTACTCTGAAACCATTCACAGATGATACACGAAGAAAATAAACTGCTGTCAGTGACATGTTTAGGAAGCACCATAGCCTAAGCAGCCCTGCTCAACCAATAAGACTGAGTCATGGGGGAGAAAGGGGGCTGGTGTAGCTTATTGCAATAGATGAGACAGTTTTCAGGGCCTGGTGGGAGTCTGGGCAGGAGTTCACTCCCTGTTACCCTTCCTGACATGGCTGCTGCCTCTGCCCAAGCACTGCATCTTCCTGAATGCCAATAAGAATTTACATTACAGCTAGCATGTACTAATAATTACTGCTAAGAGTTGTGCTTGAGTAGTGTCATTATAGGATTTGTGTAAATTATGCCCAGGCTCATTGAGGGTTGAGGAGCAGATCTAGAGCATATGGAAACTGTCTCTTTATGAACACTGAGCTCCCAGCTCTTATCATCACTCCATTGGCTTCTGAAGCAGTGGAGATGGCATTTGTTCTAGATGCAAACAGTTGTACTGCGTATCTTTTGCAGTCAGACAAGATGGTCCTGTGAATAATTCAACAGCAGATGCAAGTGACAAACACTTAAGTGAAAAAGGAACACAGAACAAATGGTGAACTTCTGCCCTTGGTGAGTTCCCAGGAAGGAACCAGCATTCATGAAAAATCAGTCCCAGAATTAACAGTAGAGAAACATTTGATATTTTACCCTTAGAGACAGTAGGCTGGATGGAATTTTCTCAGGCACAGCACAGATTTCTGGCTGTGTGAATGCTTCTTGTTTCTCATGAGTAACATCTGGTGAGTGAGCTGCAGAGGTTGTTACCCTGCTGGCCGTCTCTTGTTTGTCGCTCTTCTTACAATCCTTTATTTTGTCAACTGAACCACAGAATTTGTAATCACCTTAGAGAGATTTAAAAGTTCATTAAGGGTGCGTGGTTAATTTTTGATTGGATTCCGTACATCATTAGAAATGGAGGACAATTTCTGAAATAAGAATGCCAAGGTGTTAATAATAGGCCTCATTAATCATAGGTGCTAGTCACTGCCCTGTGACACAGAAGTATCTTTCATATTAAGCAAGTCTTCACAATTAAGTGTAAATATACCATTTTGATATTTAGATCCGTTTGGTGTTTGCTTCCTGAAAAGCAAGATACCTCCATAACACACTGACTTTATATGAAGCAATATTATTGCACTGCAATTCACAGACTTTGAGATCGTTTAAAATTATTGCACTGACAATGGAAAATAATAAACTGCTATGGAACTTAATCACATATCACTTCTCTCTGACCAAACTGAGGTTTTAATGAGAATTGGTATTGTTTTTTAATTTCTAATATATTGGTTTTCCTTCTTTGTATTGTTCCTGGGCATTCATTAGGCCTATTTTGGTGTGATTATATGAAATGCTAATAAAGAAAAGGTAAAACACATTACAGCAATTCATTATAACTGGACTTAATCCAATAGGTCATGTAATCAGACTTTTAAAAAGATTTTCCTCATTTATGATCATGCTCTATTGCTCTTTTATAATCAATATTTCCTGCATAATGTAGATCCAAAAGAAGACCTGTGCCCAAAATGTAAAAGACACCTTTTCAAAATAGTTCACATGCCTCTGATTTAAAATGTAAATTAGTCCAGACTAACAAATTAACTTCTGAACAATCCCCATATGCACTGCTCTAAAACAGCAACACTAACTGCATCTCTCATGCCAAACAGTACGATTTCTGAGATTTTTATATCTGGAAATAAAGTCCATTGCTGTTTGCTTCAATTGGGCTATTACCAGCAGGAGAGTGAGTTTGTGTGTTGGGGGGCGGAGGGTGAGAAAACCTGGATTTGTGCTGGAAATGGCCCAACTTGATGATCACTTTAGATAAGCTATTACCAGCAGGAGAGTGGGGTGGGAGGAGGTATTGTTTCATGGTCTCTGTGTATATAATGGCTTCTGCCGTTTCCACAGTATGCATCCGATGAAGTGAGCTGTAGCTCACGAAAGCTCATGCTCAAATAAATTGGTTAGTCTTTAAGGTGCCACAAGTACTCCTTTTCTTTTTGCAAATTCAACTCTGGTGTCTCTCCCAGGGTGATTTTGGCCCCTTGGGGTAATCTCAGTTATAGATATATGAATGTGTATGGAGGTAAAACCTTTGTGCGGGAACTGAACCCTAAGAAAATATGTGTTTTAATATAATGACATGAAAAGGATGTATTTACATTTTGAAAAACAGAAAATACATAGATATATTCTGTAAGATGGCAGTATTTTAGGCATGGCATGTAGTGCTGCATATCGTTAAGGTTGCCCATCACTTCCCACTATAAAACCCTGTTTTCAGTTTCTTATACCTTTTGCCAGACTTAGAAACATAGAATATTAGGACTGGAAGAGTCTCAGGAGGTCATCTTGTCCAATCCCCTGCTCAAAGCAGGACCAACACCAACTAAATCATCCCAGCCTGGGCCTTAAAAACCTCTAAGGATGGAGATTCCACCACCTCCTTAGGTAACCCATTCCAGTGCTTTACCTCCCTCCCAGCGAAATAGTGCTTCCTAATATCCAACCTAGACCTCCCCCACAGCAACGTGAGACCATTGCTCCTTGTTCTGTCATCTGCCACCACTGTGAACAGCCGAGCTCCATCCTCTTTGGAACCCCCGCTTCAGGTAGTTGAAGGCTGCTATCAAATCCCCCCTCACTCTTCTCTTCTGCAGACTAAATAACCCCAGTTCCCTCAACCTCGTCTTGTAAGTCATATGCCCAGCCCCCTAATCATTTTCGTTGCCCTCCGCTAGACTCTCTCCAGTTTGTCCACATCCTTTCTGTAGCGGGGGGTCCAAAACTGGATGCAATACACCAGATGTGGCCTCACCAGTGCCGAATAGAGGGGACTAATCACTTCCCTCGATCTCCTGGCAATGCTCCTACTAATGCAGCCCAATATGCCATTAGCCTTCTTGGCAACAAGGGCACATCCCTGACTCATATCCAGCTTCTGGTCCACTGTAATCCCCAGGTCCTTTTCTGCAGAACTGCTGCTTAGCCAGTCGGTCCCCAGCCTGTAGCGGTGCATGGGATTCTTCTGTCCTAAGTGCAGGACTTTGCACTCGTCCTTGTTGAACCTCATCAGATTTCTTTTGGCCCAATCCTCCAATTTGTCTAGGTCACTCTGGACCCTATCCCTACCCTCCAGCATATCTATCTCTTCCACCAGCTTAGTGTCATCTGTGAACTTGCCGAGGGTGCAATCCATCGCATCATCCAGATCATTAAAAAAAGATGTTGAACAAAAGTGGCCCCAGGACTGACCCTTGTGGCACTCCGCTTGATACCGGCCTAGCTTGAGAACAGTCTAGCTCCATCCTCTTTGGAACCCCCCTTCAGGTAGTTGAAGGTGGCTATCAAATCCCCCCCTCACTCTTCTCTTCTGCAGACTAAATAACCCAAGTTCCCTCAGCCTCTCCTCCTAAATCGTGTGCCCCAGCCCCCTAATCATTTTCGTTGCCCTCCGCTGGACTCTCTCCAATTTGTCCACATCTCTTCTGTACTGTGGGGACCAAACTGGACACAGTACTCCAGGTATGGCCTCACCAGTGCCAAATGCAGGGAAATAATCACTTCCCTTGATCTGCTGGCAATGTTCCTACTTCAGCTACTTGGGCTGAAATTTTCTAGGCAGTGTTTCCATGCTGAGATTGCATACTGAATGAGGCCAGGGTCCTGTGGAAAAAACAGTATGTGACCATGTAATTAAAACAAGGGGGCCAAATCAAGATTGCAAGGACAACCTGAATTCTGGCATTTCCTTTTCAGTGCTTGACTCTACGATTGTAACATTTTTAAGGTAGTTATTTGTGTGTGTAATCTATTTATAAAGGCACTGGCTTTTCCTTTTCCTTTTTGGTCTCTGTAGACCTCAGCAATGTACAGTGTTTATACAGATCAATTATGTGAAGTGACCTGTCACCAAATAACTCTTATACAGTTTTGAAAACTAGACAACTATGGATAGACTTTGTATTATTTCACTTATACCTTTAAGTCTCACCTGGTTTGAACACTGAAATTGCATTCCTAAGATCCAAGACGAGATTTACAGCTTACCTTTTGGGAACTGATTTTTCCTGTGGATATCATTTTCTTCCAGTGCAGTTTTTGATAAGGCCTTTATATCACATACACAATCAGACACAGAGATTTTTGGTTTCAGAAAGCTTTGTGCTCGACTCTCTTTGGACTTTGAAGTGCCTTTGGATGGATCTCTGTCTTTCAAAGAGCCATCAACATCAGCCCTGAATTCATCTTTGGGAGCTCGCTCCATAAGGGAAGCAGGAGCAGTTGCATTGTACTTGTCTTTAGTGTACTGCCTCCTGTGGTTTCCAGAAAAAGTTTGCATTCCTATAAAAAAATGAAATAAAAGCAAATGGAAGAAGCACCTGGGGAAAAGAGCCCATTTCACACTAACAGCTACTGAAAACAATATTTTTGCGAGCTTCTTTTTAATGCAGTTTGCTGCTTCACAAGTAATGTTTTCATCAAATTAATAATTCATTAATTAATAATATAATAATTAACATCACCATATAACTTTGCAACAGGGATGATGTACCATGGCCATAAGAAAGCAGTGTGTAAGATCATTAGCTTCCTCAGTTCCCTGTTCCATAAATTGCATTTCAGCATGTTATCCTTATTCCTAATACAACTGCCTGCAATTATAAATTAGAAACTTCAGATCTGATACAAATACCAATGCATTACTGCCACTGGGATGCAGATTGTTTGGAATGCAATGTTATCTGTGTCTTAAAAAAAACTGTGAAGAAAAATTATTGCAAAGGCTATTCTCCATAACAGATAGACTGTTGATCTAAATCACACATATATTCTACTGAGATATTTTGGAAGGGGTCAGTGTAAGGCTACTCCACACACACAGCTGCTATTTGACTTTTTCCTGCTTCTTTCTCTCACTGCTAATGGATTTTTGGGCTGGGCAGAACTGTTCAAGAGAGATTGTTGAATGCATAGTCATAGTAAGGACCACAGCAGCAATGGTAGTGATAATGAGATGTGAGATCCATGATGACTGGCATAGCCTAAGTAGTTAGGAGTTTAGGACCAGAACTTTAATTGCCTCAGTACTGCCCTATATAGTTGGGCTATTACCTTGGAAGTCCCAGAATTAAAGGGAAATTGCCATGTTCCATCACCACACAAAGCTGCAGCAGGACCAGTAGCAGAGAGCGTAACTTGTATACGGTGCATTTTCCATTTTGACGCTCTCCAACCTCAAACTGCTGCTGCCAGAAGCACAGCCATTGCAGTAGCAGAAGCCTGTTGCAGCAGCAGTAGAAGCATGAGTCAGTCCAGCATTATTATTTATTGACTACTAACAATGTGTTCTGTCTTGTACAAAATTGCAGGGATGTAATGGTCCCTGACACCGAGATCTTACAGTATAAGCAGACAAACAATATATGTGTATAGAAACACACACTTTACAGAACAACAGTGTAAATCTCACATGAGAAGAGTGCTCTGAGGAGAAATTTGAATGAGGAGAGAGAAGAATTCCAAGCATTAGCAGCAGCATGGAAAAAGGGCATCAAGATCAGAGGGAGAGAGAGAAAGAAAGATATAAAGGGGATCAGTTAGGTGAGATTTATTTTAAGTCCCCATGAACCGGTCCCTATATTCCTGTGAGGTGTGCAGTTGCACCGCCGTGCACCCATCAGCATGGTTCTGGCCTTATATTGTTAGTGATGTGCATATATTGCCTGCTGGTGATCCGTAACAGGAAGTTGGCCCAGGACCTGAGGATTTGAGGGGGATGAAAATTACCTGGATTCATCTAGTATTTGGAGAACAAATCTGAGAGAGAAGGAAGACTGGAGACTTAGGTGGTGTGGGGGCAGGAACGGGAGAGAAAAACCTGACTCAGGCCAAAAGTAAGAGACAGGAATTTTATTGTCTTCTATCTGCAACAAATAGAAGTACATTTAACAAGCTACTGATGTGTCATGGAAATCACATTTAGAAATACTGGCCATGTGACCCTCTGTCTTTCCAGCCCCAATACTTCCCTGAAGAGGAGACACAAATGACAGGATTAATTTTCCCCCTCCACTCCATCCCTGAATAAAATCTGCCACGAAGTAAGAGATGACTGATCAGGGACATGTTTGGCTCTCCCCCACCTCTGACAGATTACGGATAAGTGAAGGTTTGGGGTGAGGTGGTAGTCTTAGGTTTCCAAACCACGCACTGCCCCAGCCCAGCCCCCACTCCACCCCCATTCCAACCCCCTCCCTGCCCCTATTCCAACTCCTTCCCCAAATCCCCGCCCCAGCCTCACCTCTTCCCTGCCTCTTCCCCTGAGCGTGCCATGTTCCCGGTCCTACCCCCCGCCTCCCTGGAGCATGCTAACCCTGCCAAACAGCTGTTTGGTGGCAGCCAGGCGGGAAACGCTGGAAGGTAGGCGGAGGAGCGGGGATGTGGCGCTCTCAGAGGAGGAGAAGGTGGAGCTAGCGGTGAGGGGAGCTTGGCTGCCGGTGGGTACAGCGCACCCACTAATTTTTCCAGCCCCAGAGCACCCACGTGCTGCAAACTCCCCTTCCCTCTGCTTTCTGAACCCACTGCTTCTCAGCTGCATGGGGAGGGATCCCTGTACAGGGAGCTGCACCTCCATTTGCTCAACCCCCATGCATCCAGACATCCTGATATCCAGACCCTTCTGCCGAGCCTCACCCCCCCACACTCGGAACCCCCTGATAAGCCCCACTCCCCCTGCATCTGGACCACCCTAGTGAGCCCCCCACTCAGACCCCCCTGCCGAGCTCTATCTCCCCTAGACCCCCCCCAAACTGAGCCCCAACCACCTTCACCTGGACCCCCCTGCAGAGTCCCATTACCGTTGCACCCAGAACCCCCAACAGCCCCTGTAAATCCATATTCCCTTGCACCCAGATTTTTTCTCAGTACTTGTATAAATGTAAATATCTAAATATGATAACTCACAGTGAGACTCACAGTGGGCATTTCTGTAATTCAGGACAATGGACCTTGATGTACCTTGTTCTTGGCTCACACATAAAGCCAAGGTTAAGAACAGAGCCAATCTGGCAAATCCCTCTCCCCACCTTATGAATTAGCTAGTCTTTCAATTCAAAAGATGCAGCCAAACCCAGCCCTTCCCTAGAAAAAAAGCAGACACAGACTCAGAAGTTGGAAAAAAAACTCAAACAAGCTGTCAATAATTTTAGCTAATGTATGCAGATGAAATAATGCATTAAAAAAAGAAAAAGGCAAAGATGCTTAAAACTGAAATCACAGAGTCTCACTCTTCACATTCTGGGTACATTTTCCACGTACTGTGTGGGGAATTAAGCATGTAACTCTCATTAAGTCTATCTGGAGTTGTATATCTAACTCCCCAAGCAACAAACTGGAGATATATATACCCCTCTGAGAACAGCTAGAATCGCCACTGGCTGAGTAGAGGGATGTTTTTTCTATTATCCCAGCTGAAGAAAGACTTTAAAACCAATGAACAAAGACATGAAAGTGTAATGCTTTGGGAAACACAGGAGAACAAAGCCCACAGAAAGAGAAAGCAGAATGACTGCCGTTAATAAAATTTGCTAAAAATATTTATCCTAGTTGTAAAAAGTTGAACTAAAAAAGAAAAAGCAAGAGCAATTAATTAAACTGGAAGAAAAGTTATTTCTGCCTCCTGATGCACGAAGCAGAATACAGCAGATCATTTTCCAAATAAGCACTTGATGAAAGTACCACTCCAAAACCCAGCCTTGTAACAAAAAGAGGGAAAAGGTTAGAACAGTTCTGTAAAATTGATGGTAGGTTTTCAAATGTGACTAGTTTCTTGATGACAGCAAAATGCAAATATTTTTCACTGTCATGTGTGCTTTTTAATTTTATTTGCTGAGTATTTGCTTGGAACTAAAAGAAAGTGACTTTGTCCTGCACTAGAATAGATTAAACTGCATCATCCCAAAAATATTGTCCAGTCTATGCAAAAATATACTTCTTTTGCCATTGTCTCTAAATATTCCTCCTTGCTTTACTGCATTATAAGGAGGCTTTTAGGCTGCTTCCTCTTATTTCATTTCAGGGATTTTTACAACTCATGACAAAATAACTCTGAAATTGATCAAAGATCATTTTAACAGCTGTATGGAACTATGAATTAGCAATGATCAGCAAACAAGCTTGACAGGATAAGATCAGAGAAAGAGATGCATAGGTTGTTTCTCTCTGTGTCATCACTGAAGTCAGACGATCACACCACTGATCTTCTTTCTAGGCCACCGGCCATTTTATATAATGGTCCAATCCAGCTAGGTGCTGAACACTTCCTGCAAGATAGTGGGAACTGATGGTGCTCAGCAACTCAAGCTCTGACAGAACCATAGGGGTAGCAATTAAAAACTTACGTTTTGAGAAATATTACTGGTTCCAATAGTTTGTCCCATTTTAAGTAGAGGCACTCTCTACTTAAAGAGGCTGTGTCTACACTATGAGTGCTTTACTAGTACAGGAGTACCAATATACTACAAAGGCAAATCTCTCCTAGGACAGATCTACACTTAGCATGCTGCAGCTGGGTTGCTGTAGCACTTCAGTGAAGATGCTACTACGCTAACGGGAAAGTTTCTCTCATCGGCATAGTTAATCCTCTTTCTCCATCGCTGGGAAGAGTCTTGCTAGAATCTTACTGAATTACCTGCTCCCTCTTGCAAAGGAATACTTCCAGAGTCCCAGTGCGGCTTCAGACCATCACAAGGCACCACCGACATGATTTTCGCAGCCAGGCAGATCCAGCAAAAATGTCAAGAACAACATCAGGAGCTCTATATGGTCTTTATCAATCTGACCAAAGCCTTCGACTCTGTCAACCATGAGGCTCTGTGGAAAATCATGTTAAAGTTTGGCTGCCCAAGCAAATTTATCACCATTGTAAGACTCCGCCACGACCAGATGACTGCCTCCATCCTGGGCAGTGGCTCTACCGGTGAGCCCTTTGTCATCCCAACTGGCGTAAAACAAGGTTCTGTGCTGGCACCCAGCCTTTTCTCCATTTTCTTAGCAGCTATGAAAACATTAACCCAAGACTGTCTCCCACAGGGCATTGGCATCCAATATCGGACTGACAGCCACCTCTTCAACCTTTCTCGTCTCCATGCCAGAACTAAAGTAATATTGGCAACAATAACCAAACTCCAGTACGCAGATGATTGTGCTGTAGTTGCACACTCAAAGGAGGATCTACAAACAGCCCTTCATTGCTTCTCTGAAGATAACAAAAGCCTACGGCTAACTCTGAACTTCAGCAGAACAAAAAATTCTCCACCAGCCAGTGCCCGGTCATTCAGCAG